GAGTTGGGTTGGGTTGGGTTGGGTTGGTTTTGAGTTGAATTAGGTTGGATTGGGTTGAATTGGGTTGGATAGGTTGGATTGGGTTAAGTTGATTTGGTGTGAGTTGAGGTAGGTTGAGTTTGGTTGGATTGAATTGGGTTGGGTTGAGTTAAGTTGAGGGATAGTGGATAGTTGAGTTAGTGAAAGAGTGAGAGTACAGTGAGGGACAGAGACAGAAACAGAGAAAGAGAGAAAGAGAAAGAAAGAAGAGAAGATGCACAGACAAACAGAGATAGAATGCACCGCCCCTGCCCACACAGCTGAATTACCCATCTCTCTCTCTCTCTCTCTCTCTCTCTCTCTCTCTCTCTCTCTCTCTCTCTCTCTCTCTCTCTCTCGACGTCCACCCGCTTTCGCCCCCCCCTCTTCTCTCTCCCTCTCCCTCTTTTTTTGCGGCGTTGTTGCCACTGTTTCCCAGAAGTTGGAGGAGGAGAGGTAGAGGGATAAGATTAAAGGGGAGAGAGAGGGAGAGGGAAAAAGAATGAGAGGGAAAAGGAATGAGAGGGAAAAGGAATGAGAGGGAAAAGGAATGAGAGGAAAAAAGAACGAGAGGGAAAAAGAACGAGAGGGAAAAAGAACGAGAGAGACAGACAGACAGACAGAGATGAAACAAAGAAAGGAAGAAAGAAAATGGAAGAAATGGACGGGATGAGAACTCACTCACACACTCAGTCACATACTCACTCACACACTCACTCACTCACTCACATACTCACTCACACACTAACACTATCAATTCACACACTCACACTCTCAGTCACACACTCACTCACACTCACTCGCTCATTCACTCACTCACCCACTTACTCACTCACTCACACTCTCACACACTCACTCAATCACACACTCACTCAATCACACTCACACACTTACTCAATCACTCAATCACACACTCACACACTCACTGATTTACTCACTCACTCACTCCGAGACAAACAGACAAGCAAACACGCAAACACACAATGACGGACAAACAGCCCCAGACACAGAGACAAATATAGAGAAACGAAAATAAAGGGGAAAAAACGGGTCTCGTACCCTGATGGCACGCGCGTCGGGGCGATGTCCCCCTTTGGCCCTGCCGCCCGCAAGCACAAGGTGGGCGGCGAAGGTGAGGGGGAAGGGAGAAAGGGAGGGCGAGTGGGGGCGGGGAGGGAGGGAAGGGGAAGGGCGAGTGGGGGCGGGAGGTGAGGGGGAAGGGGAGGGAGGTGGTGAGGGGGAGGCGAGGTGAATGGGGCGGGGAGGTGGGGTCTGGGGAGAGGGTGGAGGGTGGGAGGGTTGGCTCCTTGCCTGTCATGCTTAATTCTTGGGGAGGTGGAAGAGGGTGAGGGAAAGGAGGGGGAGAGGGGAGGGAAAAGGAGGCAAGAGGTGGAAGAGAGGAGAGGTGGAAGAGGTGAGGAGGAGGAGGAAGAGGTGGAAGTGGGTGAAGGAAGGAGGTGGAAGAGGGCGAGGAGGAGGTGGAAGAGGGTGAGGAGGAGGAGGAAGAGGTGGAAGGGGTGAAGGGAAGGAGGTGGAAAGAGGGTGAGAAGGAAGTGGAAGTGGGTGAGGGGAAGGAGGATGAAGACGGCGAGGGGAAAGATGGGAAGAGGTGTGTGAGGTAAGGTTAAGAAGGAAGGAAATGGTTTGAAAGAGAGGAGCCAGGAGATAAGGTGGAGGGGGGGAGATGCGGTGAAGGTAAGGGGAAGATGAAAGATTTGGGAGAGGGTGAGGGAAGGAGGGAAGGAGATAAGAGAGATAGCGTGAGGGAAGAGGAAAATGGAAGAGGGGAAGGGAGAGATATATGACGGTAGAAAACAAGGGGAAGGAGGTGGGAGAGAGAAGAGAAAGAGAGGAAATGAAAGGGAGAAAACAAGGGGAGAATAGGAAGAGCGGAGAGATGGACGAAAGTGGAAAACAAACAGACGAAATGAGAAAAGAGGAAAGGAAAGAAAGGAAGAAGAGAGATGCGCACGAGAGGAAAGAAACAGAAAACTAAGTGGGGAAATATGGCAGTAAATCAAAGCAGGGAGAAGGAAAAAATGAGAAGAGAAAGGAAGACACACGCGAAGAAGGATAGAAAATCGTAAAAAAGATAATAGAAGATTTAAACAAACTTAAGAACAGAAAAGTTTACACACTTATAAATGGGAATGAATAACTTTACAAAGCAAGAGATTTGATTGACGTGTTTCGAGTAACGTCTTATTCGGAAAACTGTGTGGAAGATAAGAAAGATAAAGAGAGTAATAAAAATAGGAAGATAAGAAAGAAACAGAAAAATAGAAAAAAGGAGAAAAAAAAGTAAGACACATAATATAAAAGATCGTCTTTTCACGCCCTGTTAATCTGCTAATCTGTTACCGGTTATCGCTTCTCTTGCCGTTTATCAGCTGCCTAATCAAATATCTCCTGCCGTTTTACCTGGTTTCTCTTACCGGTTAACTATTACCCTTACCGTTTCCCTGTTGTCTGTTACCGTTTGCCTCTTACCCTTACCGTCTCCCTGTTGTCTGTTACCGTTTGCCTATTACCCTTACTGTTTCCCTGTTACCGTTTGCCTATTACCCTCCCTGTTTCTGTTACCGTTTGCCCTTACTGTTTCCCTGTCTGTTACCGTATTACCGTTTCCCTGTTGTCTGTTACCGTTTGCCTATTACCCTTACTGTTTCCCTGTTGTCTGTTACCGTTTGCCTATTACCCTTACTGTTTCCCTGTTGTCTGTTACCGTTTGCCGTTTCCTGTTGTCCTGTTACCGTTTGCCTATTACCCTTACTGTTTCCCTGTTGTCTGTTACCGTTTGCCTATTACCCTTACTGTTTCCCTGTTGTCTGTTACCGTTTGCCTATTACCCTTACTGTTACCGTTTTTTACCGTTGTCCCCTATTACCCTTACCGTCTCCCTGTTGTCTGTTACCGTTTGCCTATTACCCTTACTGTTTCCCTGTTACCCTATTACCCTTACTGTTTCCCTGTACCGTACCGTTTACCTTTTTTCCGTAATCTCTTACCGTTGACCAGTCAGTCCTTGCCTCTGGTGTTTTCTGTTACCTCTTAATGTTTCTTTTCCTCTCACCGTTTACCAGTCATTCCTTCCTTCTTGTTATTTGACTGTTTTCTGTTATTTCTTCATGTTTATCTGTTCGTCTTACCGTTTACCTGTTGTCTGTTAATAATTAGCTGATACCCTTGAGCTGCTGTCTGTTACCTGTTAATGTTAACCTGTATTTGTGTGAAACAGAAGTAACCATAGATTTCCCTCCTTTTACATTATTTTATTTTTATTTTATTTTTTATTTTTTGCCTTCCTTTCCCTTCCCTTTCTCTTTTCTTTATTTCTAATCGCCTTTTTATCTTATTTCACCCCGTGTTTTGCCCATTTTCAGCCCTTGCTATCCTTGCCATATCTGTACCTATCGCTTTAGTTCCTGCTTTTATCTCATTTTGTTTGTATTCCTCTTTTTCACGTCTTTTTCCACTTTTTCTTTTTCTTTTTTGTTTTTCTTCCACTTAGTCGTCTTTTTTTCCCACTTTTTCTTTTTTCTTTTTTTTTTCTACTTTGTCTTTTCTTTTTTCTTTGTTTTTTTCTTCTTTGTCTATTTCTTTATTCCATCTCGCCTTTCACACAAGTTTTTGAAGCAGGGTGAAGTTCCGCAGGGTCGCTATGTATTTATTTCTGCCTCTCTTTCATTTTATTTTGTTATTTTATTCTGTCTTTAATTGTGTATGTTTTTTGTTTTCATTTTTGTGTGTTATCTCTTTTTCTCTCTCCCCTCTCTTCTCTCTCTTCCTCCTCCTCTTTCTTCTTCTACTTCCTCTTATTATTATTCCTCTTCCTCTTTTTCTTCTTTCTCTTCTTCCTCCCCACTCCCTCTCCTCCCCACTCCCTCTCCTCCTTTCGCCCCTTCTGCATTCTGTATGTACTTGTATTTTTGGAAAATACCTATCTATTTTTCTGACGAAGACATGCCATGCCGTACTTTATAAGGAAAAAAAAGCAAAAAAAAAAAAAATCGAGACAGCATTTTTTTAATATCCCTTTTTATCATTTTTATTGAGGGTATTTTTTCCCCTTAATATTGCTTGGTATTTTTGATGTGCACATATGAGTATTCTAGTTTCTCATGTGCGTGTTTACATAGCCTGTGCGCTTTTGTGTGTGCTCGATTGGGTATGAATACACAAATATACAGATAATAGGTATGTTGGTAGATGCAGATAGGTGTATAGATAGTGTAATAGATATATATCCTCGATAGATAGATATAGATAAATATACAGTAATAGATATATTTGTAGATGTAGATAGGTGTATAGATATATATATATAGAGATATATATCCTCGATAGATAGATAGATAGATAGATGCCTCGATATAGATTAGATAAATAGATGGCCTCGATAGATAGATTAGATAGATAGATGGCCTCGATAGATAGATAACTAGCCTCGGTAGACAAATAGATAGCCTCGATAGATTAGATAATATAAAAAGAATATGAAGATGGATAGATGGAAGATTTTTATTTTCTATTTCCACCTGAAGTCGAATGGCGTCAAACAACTTGATTTTATCTTTTCTCGTTTCTATTCATACCACATTGATGTTAGTTTAAATCGCCGTTTTTCCAAACTTGACTCTTTTGTATTTTTGTTCATTTTTTTATTATTCATTATTGATTGACTTATTGGTTCATTTCTTTCTTTATTTATTTATTAATTTTGTTAAATAATTTATTTATTAATGTATTTATTTATTTTTATTGTTATTCATTTTTTGTTATGTTTGATTTATAATTTTTTTATTGTTTATTTTTTTATATTTGTTTATTTTTTGTTTATGTGTATATTTTACTTATTATTATTTATGTTTATTATTTATTTGGGTATTCATTGTATTACCTATTATTGTAATTATTTTTTATTCAGGTTACTATGTATCTATATTTGTTACTATGTATTCTCTACACCTCCCTTCCTTTGTTTGCGTTCCAGGTGATGCAGGATGGGGAACCTGCTCAGGCTGCTTGCGCGGGACGAGACCGGCAACAGCTGCTGCTCGCACCAGAAGTACGACGTCTTCTTAGACTTCGAGAGTGAGTTTGTGACGTATTTTGTTGTTGTTGTTTTTGGTTGATGGGTTTTTGTTTTGGTGGTTTTAAGGGGTTGGGTGTGTGGGGTAGGTGGGTAGGGGAGGGGTAGTGTTAGGGGTGTTTTTTTATGGTTTCCAGGGGTTGGGTGTGTGGGGGTAGGTGGTAGGGGAGGGTAGGGGTTTTTTGTTTATTTTTCTTGTTATTGTTGTTTTGTTGATGGTCTTCAGGGTTGGGTGTGTTGGGTAGGTGGGTAGGGTAGGCGTGTTTTTTTTTCTTGTTTTTCTTGTTTTTGTTTGGTGTTCTTCAGGGGTTGGGTGTATGGGGTAGGGGTAAGGGTAGGGGTGTGTTTTTCTTGTTTTTGTTGTGGTTTTGTTTGATGGTTTTATGAGGCTGGGCGTGTGGGGTAGATGGGTAGGGGTAGGAGTAGGGGTGGTGTTTTTACTTGTTTTTATTTGTGTTGTGTTTTTATTTTAGGGGTTGGTTGGGTGGCTTAGGCAGAGTGGGTATTTGGGTAGAGCGGATGGGATGGATGGGAGGGAAGGGATGAGGAAGAATGGGAGGAGAAGAGAAAGGTGGGAGGATGCAAAGGCTGGATAGAAATAGGAATACCACTCAAGGATAGAAGGGAGGAAGAAAGAGAGAGAAAGGAGGGGAGAGTGAGAGAAAGAACAGTGAGAGTGTGAGTGTGAATGTGAGAGTGAAAGTTAGAGTGAGAAACAAAGAGATGCAATAAAGCAGAGACTTGGGAAACCGGAAATTCAGAGATGCACTCAAAAACCGGCCATTTAACAATCACAACATCAATATTATCCTCGGCCCCCGCCACTGTATCCATCCCCGAATATCCACACCTTCAGTGTCGCATGTGGTCGAGGAGAATGGAGAGTGCGTCGAACGAGAAGTGGAGAGTGGGTTGGAGCGAGAGTGGAGATGCGGTGAGGGAGTGGAGAGAGTGTTGAGTGAGGGAGTGGAGAGTGTGTGGAGTGAGCGAGTGGAGAGTGGAGAATACGAGGAGCGAGAGTGGATGGTTGAGAGTGGAAAGTACGTGGAGGGAGACTGAAGAGTGGAGAGAATGAAACGAGATAAGAACGAGGAGCTGACGCCGAGCGCGACGCAGCCGATGCTCCCCCCCCCCCGCCGCAGTGAGGGCGACGCGCGAGAGTGGGTCCAAGGGGCGCCACGCAGGCCGCCGCCCGTGTGTCAGGCCGCATTAAGGGCGCGACGTCTTCAGGAGGGCCGAAAAGGGAGCCAGGGAGAGCGGGAGTGATTTAAAGGCACGCAGGCACCCCGCGGTCGGTCGCCCCCCCTCCTCCTCTACTCTTTCTCTCCCCTCTTCTCTCTCTGCTCTCCCTGTCGTAGGTGCTGTCGCTTTTTTGTTCTTTCTTCGCTCCTCTTTCCCTTTCACCCGCTCTCAGTCTCGCTCTCGCTTCCCCTCCCCTCCCTCCCTAGTTCCCTCCTCCCTTCCTTCCTTCCCTTATTCCTCCTCCCTTCCCTCCTTCCCTTGTCCCACCTCCCCTCTCCTCCTTCTTCCCTCCTCCCTTCCACTTTGCTTCCGTCTTTCCCTTCCTCCCTTCCCTTCCTCATTTCCTCCCTCTCTCCCTTCCTCGTTCCTTCCCTCAATTCCTCTCCCTCTCCTTTCTGCCAGTCTTAGTTTCCCCCTCATTTAGTCTCTTGTTTTATTCAGGTATGCTTCTGCGTCAGTTCTTCCATCTTTATTTTACGGATTTCTGTATTATTATTATTATTCATTTGTTAATTTCTTAGAGTCTCTTTCTGCATTCTTATAGTTTTTTTTCTTTTTTTGTTCAGTGTTTTCGACTTTTCTGATTTATTTTTTCTCTCCTCCCTCTTTTCCCCCTACATTTCTCTTTATGGCTTTGCCTCCCATTATTTATTTCAATTGTACCCCTACTTATGGCTTTTCGCACTCCCTCTGTTTACCTCCCCCCCTTTTTTTGGTCTTTTTGGGGGTAATGGTTGGTTGTTTGATTTATTTTCCCCTCCCATTTCCCCTCTCCTTTGCCCTCTTGCCTTTCTAAATCACTATATTACCCTCCCCTCCCCTTTTTTTTATAGTTTTGTATTCTTATTTCTTTCTCCAATCTTCCTTTCTCCATTCTGCAACTTTTTTTCACTTAGTTCCTGCTCTCTTCTCTTTTTTGTCTTTTCTCCTGTATCCTCTCTCCTTTCTTTTCTTCGCTCTTCTCTCGCCTGTTTCTTCTCTCTTCTTTCTCCTCCTTTTTCTCTCTTCTCTCTCCTTCTTTTTCTCTCATCTCTCTCCTTCTTTTTCTCTCTTCTCTCTTCTCTCTCCTCCTTTTCCTCTTCTCCTCCTCTCTCCTCCTTTTTCTCTCTTCTCTCTTCTCTTTCCTCCTTTTTCTCTCTTCTCTCGCCCGCATTCCCCATTCCCCTCTCCTTCCCTTCCTCATTTCTCTTTTCCCATTTCCCCTTCTCCGTCCAATTCCCGTTTCCCTATTCGCCTTCTTCTTCCCCTTCCCTCCTTCCTCCCTTTTTTAAAACCCTTTCCTGATCTCCCTACTGCTTTCCTTTTCTCTCCTTTCTCCCTTCCCTTTAACCTTTTATCCTTCCCCCTACCTTTTTCCCTTTGAACTCTGTTGCTCTTTCCCCTTTCTCTTCGACTTCTGTTTCTCTCTCTCTCTCGCTCGCTTTTTATTTCTCTCTCTCCTCCTTTTCTGTATCCCCTCCTTTTCCTTTTCGCCCATTTTCTTTCCCCTCCTTTTCATCTTTTCCATCCCATTCCATCTTCCATAGCACCCCTTCCCCCTTTCTTCTTCCCCTCCTTTTCACTTTTCCTGACAACCCCTTTCCCTTTGCTCTTTTTCTTCCTTTTCTCTTCTCCTTATTTTCATTTCCCCTTATCCCTTACTCGCCGGCTTTCTTATCGTATTCTCTCTTAGTCCTTTTTTCCGCACACGCACACCTCTCATTTGTTTTATTTTTGTGGTCTGTCATTTTTCTGTGATTTTTCTTCGTTTGTATTATTATTATTATTCTTTCTCTTTGTTTTATTTTTCCTGTTTTTCTTTTCTTGCGCGCGTGATGTAACGATTTTTTTTTAATTATTAATTATTATTCAATATCTGTCTCTTTACTCTTCTTTCTTCCCGTATTCTCCCTCCCGCTCCTCCTCTTCCTCCTTCCCTTACTCTCTCTCCTCTCCGCCCTTCGTCCCCTCATTCTCTCTTCCACCCTCTCTCCCTCCCCTTCCCTCCGCCTCCTTCCTCCCTCCCTCCCCCTCTCCTTCTTCCGCCCTCCCCTCCGCCCTCCCTCTCTCCCTCTCTCTTTTGATCTTGTTCACGCGAATTCCACTTCACTCACCGGCGTTGCTCTCCTCCCTTTTTTGCGTGTGCGCGCGCGAGCTCCGTCATGCCACTGCAGTCTTGTCGCTCCTCCCATCTGTTTTTCTGTCTCTCTCTTCTTCTCTCCTCTCCTCTCTCTCTCTCTCTCTCTCTCCTCTCTCTCTCTCTCTCTCTTCTCTCTCTTCCTTCTCTCTCTCTCTCTCTCTCTCACTCTCTCTCTCACTCTCTCTCATTTTCACTCTCACTCTCAACTCTCACTCCTCACCACTCTCACTCTCTCTCTCTCTCTCCTCTTCTCCTCTCTCTCTCTCTCTCTCTCTCCTCTCTCTCTCTCTCTCTCTCTCTCTCTCTCTCTCTCTCTCTCCTCTCTCTCCTCTCCTCACTCTCCTCACTCTCTCCTCTCTTTCTTTCTCTCTCTTCTCTCTCTTCTCTCTCTCTCTCTCTCTCTCTCTCTCTCTCTCTCTCTCTCTCTCTCTCTCCTCTCTCTCTCTCTCTCTCCTCTCTCTCTCTCTCTCTCCCTCTCTCTCTCCTCTCTCTCTTCTCTTTCTCTCTCTTTTCTCTCTCTCTCACCCTTTTTCTTCTTCCCCTTTCTTTCCCTTCCACCCTTTTTTTTTCATTCTGCCTCTCTTTCGCTCTCTTTGCTTTGCCCATCCTCACCTCCCTTTCCCCTCTCCCCTATGCCTGTCCTTTTTTTTCCACTCCTCCCCTTCTGGGCTGCATTCCCCCCCACCATTCCGTTCTCCGCTTTCCCTATTCCCCTTCCCTTCTCTCCCCCCTTCCGCCCTGCACCGCTTTCCCCCCTATTCCCCTTCCTCTTCTCCCCTGCCCCCTTCGCCTTCTTCGCTTTCCCCCATACCTCTTTTGCTCATTCCCGTCTAGCTGTAAATCGTCTATTCTCCGCTCCGTCTCTCCTCCTTCCCCCTAGCCCGGCTGCCTTCTTTCCCTCCTTAAAACCGCTCGTCTCTTCCTCCTCCTCCTTTTCCTCACCTCCCCTCTCCGCCTCCTCCTTTCCTCCTCCTCCTCCTCCTCCTCTTCTCCTACCTCTCCTCGCTCTGCTCCTCCTTCCTCCTCCCTCTTCACCTTCCACCGGCCCTCTCCCTCTTTAATATTTTAGCGTCGTGCTTCAGGGCTTTTTTTCGACTACGGCGCGCTCTCTTCGGGTTGAACAGTGACTTCGAAGACCCGCGGGTGCAGCAACTCGAACCGGTATTTCGGTCAGCTTCTTCCCCCCCCATCCGCTTTCCCTCCTCTTTTCCTCCTCCTTCCTTCCCTTTCTTTTCTCCTCCTTCCTTTTCCCTTTCCTCCTCTTCCCTCCTCCTGCACTCACCTCCTCCCTTCTCCTTCTCCTTTTCCCTCCTCCTCCTCTTCCTCCTGCTCCCTTCTTCCTCCCATGTCCGGTGTCTTCTTCTCCTCCTTCCCTCATCTCATCTTCACTTCTTCTCTCGCCCCTTTCTCTTCTGAACCTTCCATCTCTCCTTTCTTTCTCTCTTTCTTCTCTTCTCTCACCTCTTTTCCCCTTTCTTCTTCTTATTTTCTCTCTCCCAGCTCCTATCCTTCCATCTCTTCGTTTCCCGCCCACCCCATTGCCTCTCCTCCCTCTTTTAAAACCCCTCTTTCTCCTGTCTTCCCTCCCCTTTTTTTGTTTCCCTCGTTCCTCCCCCTTCTTTTCCCCTCTTGTCTTCTCCC